ATTTATATATATATATATATATATAATACTATATTTGTTGATATTTTTGACACTAATCTCAAGAAGTCAACATGTGGTGTATAAACAGTATTTAAAGTGAAATGGCTGTAAATATTATAAATTATATTATTTATATTGCACATTTACTCTCATCTAAGACAACAAACAGCCCATAATATGCCTGAATTAGCTAATTAAATTGGTGGCGGTAATGTTAATGCTCACAATTAGTTTGGCCACTGACTGACTCAACAACAAAACGCAGATCAGTACACTCTGTTTGCGTCTCAATAGTAAGAGCACACATACCTTGTATGTTTATGACATCATTAATGGTTCATAAGAGGACATGCCTTCTCTGTGGTTTATGGTTTATCATGTAAAATCTTTACACAAACATTCTCTCGGCGTCCATGTTTGATTATTAATAAACATTAGAAGCGGCACTTCTGTCCAATGAGCTGTCCGTGTGGGCGGGGCTTCCTGCAATTATATCGCTATATTCGCTATGTTAAATCAAAATTAATTAAAAATCCCCTCAATTTGTTATAAAACTCATGTTTCTTTTTTTACAAATGTCACGTTTAGAAAACTAAATCTGGAAAGAAGCGATGAGTAGCAATGCTGAGAATAAATATCTCCACCCTTGCCTTAGAGAGTGTTATTTTAACAATGATGATTAAGTAAAAGTATTAATGTTTTTGTTGTTATTATTATATTATTAATACAATTTTTTAACTTTCATAATATAACCCCCAATTAAAAAAACACACAAATTCCTATAAATTAGGCAACATTTTTATTTGTTATCAATTTGCAATGCTTCCTCAATAATTATAGTAAACTATATTAATGTTTATAATTGCTTATTATTATTTTCATTGAAGCTGTACGTGCACTTACACAGCCACTGTTGCTTTTGATATAATTTCAGGATATTGTTTACGTTTTTTAGCACATTAATAATATAATATATTCTTAATTAAATATGTATGAAGAAAGTATATATGAATACACGTCTGCACCTGAAAATCATATATATTTTAAATGTATTTGTATTAAAATGCACTGACATGAATGTTGACTTTCGGAATTTGCAATGTCATTTTAATGGCACTAGGTGGCAGTAAAGACTTAATATTCGCCACTAGTCCTCACCTGCCTCTTGTCCGATGTTTCTCGGGGTTTTCTTTTGAATACCACTGAAATAGGCTGTCTCATTAGTCCTAGTTGAATATTTAGACAGAAGAGTGTATAATATACAACATTAAAGCACATTTTGAGGATAATGTATGTATGCCTATTTTCAGAGCTGACTACAGTAAGAGCATTGCACTGATTGATTATTGTTATTATTATTATTTATCTTTGTATCCTGTAATGAAATGTCTAAATAAATGTCTTTATTCTAACACTCCCTGATTCACTAACTTGTTTTCTTCTCTCTATATTTTAAACTATAGTTAAAAATACTCCATATGTGACAGGATTGTTTTGTTTGAACATTTCAGTTCTAGTTCTTTAACCATTAAGCCAATCCATCCTCACAGTATAAAAGGATTACTGTATGCAAATGTGCAGTTCATTGTCACTGAGGCACACCTGCATGATTACAGAAGACAACAAAGACACTAATAATAGATGTGTGTGTGTGTGCTATAAAAGGTTATTCAGACTTTTCAGAGCAATAATACCCGCATCCACATAGCAAAATATCACTGGCCCACTCAAACAGCTTTTGCTTGGCCCACATGCTGCAGTGAATTACGGTACGAGTGGTATGAGTGGACCATGTCTGACTTTCAGACAAGGGCCAAACGTGGACCTTATCTGGGAAAAGTCTCAGCCAAGTTATTAACCCATAACTGAGCCTGAACTGGGCCAGATTTATGTTGGTGAGTAACGATTGCAATAAAACTGATAAACCCATGAAGCATTATGCTTTAAGCGTGCTATGGGGGTGCTTGTTCTCGAAGCGACCTGATTGGTAGAATTTTTTTCATTCATCCATTCATTCATTTTCTTGTCAGTTTAGTCCCTTTATTAATCTGGGGTCGCCACAGCGGAATGAACCGCCAACTTATCCAGCAAGTTTTTACGCAGCAGATGCCCTTCCAGCTGCAACCCATTTCTGGAAAACATCCACACACACATTCACACACACACACACTACGGTCAATTTAGCCTACCCAGTTCCCCTGCACCGCATGTCTTTGGACTGTGGGGGAAACCGGAGCACCCGGAGGAAACCCACGCGAAGGCAGGGAGAACATGCAAACTCCACACAGAAACACCAACTGAGCCGAGGTTCGAACCAGCGACCCAGCAACCTTCTTGCTGTGAGGCGACAGCACTACCTACTGCGCCACTGCCTCGCCAGAATTTTTTTCTTTATTTGAAAATGATCAAAATGCATTTTAAATGTGGGTCAAGATCGGCCAAACTCACATGGTCCACATATCAATTATTATCATCTGGCCCAAGTATTTTGTGCCACCTTAAAGATGGTGCCACCTCTGCCTAACCAGAGCCATGTCTGGCCCACATGCTGTATGCCAGTGTCAGATGAATGCCTGCTGTCTCAGATTTATGCCCAATCTGGGCCAGAATTCTTTGCCACCTGGGTATATATATATATATATATATATATATATATATATATATATGTGTGTGTGTGTGTGTGTGTGTGTGTGTGTGTGTGTGTGTGTGTGTGTGTGTGTGTGTGTGTGCGTGCGTGCGTGCGTGTTTTCTGGCCCAGCTCCGGGCCACACAATAACTTTTCCTTCAGCCCAAGTACCGCAAAGAATGACAGTCCTTAAGTGACCCATAACTGGATTACAGACAAGGGCCACACATGGGCCATAATCGGCCCAAATCTCAGCTAATTTATTACCCTTAACTGGTCCTGAACTGGGCCAAAACAGGTTTATTATTGGTACAGATTCTCAGCAGTAAGTTTATACTTTAACCAGAAACCTAAAAAACTGACCCATAATTCAGCCTAATGTTACCTAAAGTAACTGGGAGCCAGTGTAAAGACCTGAGGACAAGTGCTCTGATTTTCTGCTACTGTTCAGAATCCTGGCTGCAGCATTCTGGAAGAGCTGCAATTGTCTGACTGTATTTTTGGGAAGGCCAGTGAGAAGGCCATTACAGTAATCCACCCTGCTGCTGATAAAATCATGAACAAGTTTCTCTAAATCCTCACTGGAAACAAAGCATCTAATTCTTTCAATGTTTTGATGAGATGATAGTATGCTGATTGAATTTGGCAAGTAATCGGACAACACTAATTTGTGATCTGTGAAAAAAATAAAAGGGGCTATTAATAATAACTGATCTGAAAGCTCATTTTAAATAATGTGAAAACTAATTTTGTTCCAGCCACACTAAAATAAATAAGTTAAACTTAGCCTAGAAGAAGAAAAAAATTAATAGCAAATACTGTGAATGTTTCCTTGCTCTGTTCAACATCACTTGGGATATTTCTGAACAACAATTAAAATTATTTATACAGTCAAGCCTGAAATTCTGACTGACTTTGATTCAACCAGCAAGGTTTTTGGATTGTAAATGACACAGTGCTTCTCCCAAAAGATAATAAGATACTGTATGTACAAGAGGCAAATATTACTTTGAGTAAAAATATTTCTTTAAGTAACTTTAAGTTAAGGAATAATTTCAGGCTTGACTGTAGGTGCAGGTTTGGGTTAGTCTGTAATAATTAGCTTTATGTAAAACAGAGTCTTTTCTGTGTGTGTGTGTTTTCATAGACTTGACAGATAATAGATCTTACTCAGGGCCATCTAAACTAGTTGTTTGCTTTTTTTAGACCTCAATGTATGAAGCATCTTGAGTTCCTCCTTTTGATCAGGCTGTGATTAATCAGGAAGTTTATCTAAGAGTTGAATTACTGGTTTGCAGAGTCACTTCCACTGCACAGCTGAAGAGAATCGACCTAAAATATCACCAAAATGACTATTCCCGTCTCATTAGGGATATTTCGAAGACTTATTTTGCAGATACAACCAGACAAAGACTGAGCTAAAGAAAGTAAATTTAATATTAGTCACATAATTGGGGATGTTGATCACTTTTGAGAATATGATTGAGTGTTGTTTTTGAATTGAAACAAAAAGTTAAAGAAAATATTAAATAAAACACATTCAAACAAAACAAAAAATAAGTTATAAAGTATAAACCAAAATCAACACAGTGCAGCGCATCACTGTTAAACCTAACAGGGAAAATCACTAAATGAAATAGGTTAGTTTAATCTATAATTTTTAAAAAGTTACTTGGACTTATTGAAAAAGAGTTATGGTAACTTAAAATTATATCAGATTATATTAATCAGAATTCAAACCAAATGAGTTATGAATGAGTTAGTTATTCATTCAGGAAACTGAGGCTACAATTCACACAGGCTCACTAAAATTAGACAGTAGAAGATTGGAGAAACATTGCCTGGTCTGATGAGTCTCGATTTCTGCTGCCACATTCGGATGGTCGGGTCAGAATTTGGCGTCAACAACATGAAAGCATGGATCCATCCTGCCTGGTGTCAACAGTTCAGGCTGGTGGTGTAATGGTGTGCGGGATATTTTCTTGGCACACTTTGGGTGTATTAATACCGATTGAGCATTGTGTCAACAACACAGCCTACCTGAGTATTGTTGCTGACCATGTTCATCCCTTTATGACCACAGTGTACTCATCTATCATGGCTACTTCCAGCAGGATAAAGCCCCATGTCATAAAGCGTGAATCATCTCAGACTGGTTTCTTGAACATGACAATGAGTTCACTGTACTTAAATGGCCTCGACAGTCACCAGAACTCAATCCAATAGAGCACCTTTGGGATGTGGTGGAACAGGAGATTCACATCATGGATGTGCAGCGGACAAATCTGCAGCAACTCCGTGATGCTATCATGTCAATATCAAGCAAAATCTCTGAGGAATATTTCCAGTGCCTTGTTGAGTCTATGACACGAAGGATTAAGGCAGTTCTGAAGGCAAAATGGGGTCCAACCTGGTACTAGTGTTCGGACTTTCAGCAGTGATAATTAAACCACACTAAACTGAACTTTAACTCTGAAAACTGGACTGACAATTTCAATTTACTATAATCTTTTATGTTGAGCTGCTTTGACACAATCTACATTGTAAACGCGCAAATAGAAATAAAGATGAATTGAATAGTTGAATAGTAAGGTGTACCTAATAAAGTGGCCAGTGACATGTGTATGTATATATATATATATATATATATATATATATATATACAGTTTGAGTAAACTTAAAAGGTTTTACAGAGTATAAATAAATAAACCTAACTGGTAACACTTTACAGTAAGGTTGTATTAATGTTTTAACTAACATAAACAATACATTTATTTCAGTATTTGTTCATCTTTCCTAATGTAAAGGAAATAAAGTTGTTCATTGTTAGTTCTAATTAACTAATGTTAACAAACATAGATTTTAATAATGCATCAATAAATGTTCAACTATTATTAAATGTACTGTTTAAGAGTTCACACACAGCTGACAATTGATTATAAAGTTTGTTTGGCATGCTGTCCCAGAAGAGAACCCTGAGCTCATAAGATCCTCGAGCCCGGGGCTCCCTCCTGTTTAAAGGGCGAGAGGGGAGATTGAGCTCAGGTAGATCTCGAGAACTCTTACTTTTAAGAGATAACTACTTACTAAGGCATGTCTATGGTGCTGATTTTGATTAGTCAATTGACTTAAGTTGCATGTTTTTAGATGGTGGGAGGAAACCGGGGAACTGGGGAAAACTCGCGTGAGTACGGGGAGAACGTGTAAACTCCGCACAGAAACGTTGGCTGGGTTGGTAAGGACTAGAACCAGTGATGTTGCTGTTGATGTTGCTGTGAGGCAACAATGCTTAGGAATCGTCTGATTGGTGAATCATGAATTAAATAAAGCGGGGCCGGCTGCAGGCAATCATAAGCACGAGATCCTCTTCAAATTAGTTTATATATAATTTTTTGTTATAATTGTTTATTATTAGTTTATGTTAGTAAATATTAACCAATAATAAATAATGAAACCTTATCGTAAAGTGTGACCAAGTAATTAAAGGACAACTGTAATGTATTGTGCGTTAATAATATACAGTTGAATTCAGAATTATTAGCCCCCCTGTTTATTTTTTCCCCAATTTCAGGTTAACGGAGAGATTTTTTCAGCACATTTCTAAACATAATAGTTTTAATAATTCACCTCTAATAACTGATTTATTTTATCTTTGTCATGATGACAGTAAATAATATTTGACTATATTTTTCAAGTCACTTCTATACAGCTTAAAGTGACATTTAAAAGCTTAACTATGTTGATTAGGTTAACTAGGCAGGTTAGGGTAACTAGGCAAGTTATTGTATAATGATGGTTTGTTCTGTAGACAAAAAATATAGCTTAAAGGGGCTAATAATATTGTCCTTAAAATGTTGATCAAAAAATTAAAAACTGCTTTTATTCTAAACGAAATAAAACAAATCAGACTTTCTCCAGAAGAAAAAATATTATCAGACATACTGTGAAAATTTCATTGCACTGTTCAACATCATTTGGAAAATATTTAAACAATAAAAAAAAAATTAAAAGGGCTGAATAATTCTGACTACAACTGTATATTATTTAATTATATTTCTGAAATAATATAAACTAAAACAGAAAAAGCAACAGCAGCTAAAGGTTAAAATGATCGAAGCTAACAGGTTCATTGTATTGCCAAAAAAAAAGATAAGTACATATGAGAAAACAAATATGACCTGCCATTTCCATACAGCATATAGAGCTCATTTTAGTTTCTCTAGGTTGCTTATATTCAACTGGATTTGGACATGCAAAAGAGCTTTGTGTTTGTGTTTCAAGTGCTTATCGTTTCATCCGAGGCTTGCGCAAAAAAAGACCAGAGAAACAGCATTTTCCCCAATCAGCAAGGCAGAAAATACCGGTCTACGCGCGTAATACTTAGGTTTACAAGACGGTGGCCCTGTAAAGCAGCTCTGAGACACGCATCCCTTCAAACCGAGCCATCGCCTTCACGAAGTCAACCACAGAACTGATCCGAGATCGGTTTTAAAGTGCAAAAGTACAGTTCACCTTCCTCCTGTCTGGAGCCGAGCCAATAGTAATGAGGCAGAGCACAGGGGTGTGGAGTGATAAAACAGGCAAAACAGCTATATCTCTGACAGATACAGCATACCTGACCGAATCAAATACACAATATCAGATAAAGAAAGTCGATTCATAAATAAGGATTTATTTTTATTACTTTCAAAACCATACAACAATACACTAAGAACTATTCAGTTTGGGTAGGAGGACAACGTTAAATACTTTTACACATCACAAGCATACTGTCTTCTCAGTGCACTTTGCTTCACACACACACACACACGCACACAAACACAGCAGAGATGCCTATTTCTTGCCTTCATTTTGTTTCTAAGATAAGACTGTGAAAGGAAAAATAACACATGTAAACATTTCCTGATACACAAGCTGGTACAATAAAAAAAAGGGTCATCAAATGGATCCCTTAGCGAGGTGGAAACTTGTAATTGACCTCCAAACATCATGTTTTATAGCCTTACTTTCCTCTTTTTTTTATAACTGCATGGCACTTGCTACATTTACCGAGTTATCAGGATGTTCTGGAAACAATATAGAATAATAAAACATCTCATTCAGCAGCTGCCAGCAGCCAAAGTCTCTGGTGCCCACACCCACTGTAATCACGTTGAACAGGAATGCATGTACAGTAACAGGAAGATCAGTATGTGTGTGTATGTGTGTGTGTGTGTGTGTGTGTGTGTGTGTGAGCTCGGCCAAACGCATTACACATGGACTTTAACTCCATGGAGCTCTTAAAAATCGGTCGAAGATGTGTTTTCATTGAGGAAGCGTTAATGACTGACCATTTCCAATGGCAAAACGTGGAGAACTATAGATCTGGGGCACTTTATTTTCAAAGGAGGTTGTGTTTGTTGAGTTTTTGTAATCCGTAGTTGTGTATTTAAGAACTAGAACTAAAATAGGAGGTAGTACTGGAGAAAGTCCTAATCCAGACTCACAGCTTCACATGGAGACGACGCTTTAAAAAGAGGACAGAAACACATTCACAGAAACGCATTCACAGGTTTTCAAAGTATTGCTTTTTTGTGCAACAAAAGACACACGACACCTCGGTGAGAAGCCAGGAATCGGAAATACTCCGTTCATTCAGAGGGCAACATTTCTGCTGCCGTTTTAAGCAGCTTATGAAAGCTTAAAAAGCAGTGCCAAAACTGGGCAAATGTAACACATTCAGCTCTCCAATCGCTCACGCACACGCACACGCACAACTCAGAACAGAAAGGAAATACTCAGCCTGTTCCTATGTAACACACGCGTACACACACACACACGGTTGTACAGACAGGTCACATTAAACAAAAAAAAAAGCACACAAAAGAGTGTCCGGACAAAAGCGCAGAGCATTAGTCCAACAGAAGAACTGCAAAAGAGTGTGCATGTGTCAGATTTCTTGTGTGCAATGCAGTAAGAGGGAATAACCTTCATTTAAAAAGCCGACCGGAATAAAGCAGGCCGTGTTTATACTTCATATATGGTAGACGACGCGAACGTACAGAAGCTTTACTGACCCTATGTCCCTATGATCAGAGGAACGTGCTCAATGTTCATCTAAACAATCTTCAATGCGATATATATAAAAAAAAAAAAGTACAACACTGAAGTATGGCAGTACCAGACCGGCTGATACCAAACAACTGCACCATGTTATCAACACTTAACCATTTCACATAGCAATGAAATTAAAAACATAGTTTGAGCTTGCTCAAAGAGAACTGTCGAGAGCAAAAAATAAACAAGAGGAAATCCCAGTAACTGCTATTTAATTGTAACCTGCTCAAACTTACGAGCAAAACTGCAACAAAGCAGCGAAGAAGTCTTTTGTGCACTTGGTTAGTTCATACCAAGTCTATTTGGTGCGTCGTTTTTCGTTTGCTTTGACAGTCCCAGTCTGAACTCGAATCGGAAGCGCTTGTGCTTCGACTCGCTGTGCTGTCCGTTAAATACTTCTCATGTTTATCTAGGTATGACGGCCGCTGTGGCAAAAGAAAGTAGTGCGTGTTGCTGGCCTTCATGCCGTTCTCCATGACAGGAAGAATGCATGGCGAGCCTTCGCTGTTTTGTCGTTGCAAACCACGACTGACGTATTTAGGGTCCGGAGCAAAGCTCTGAGTAGGGGGCATGATCCCGTTATAGTATATGGGGAGGCTCTTTGGGCTGGGTGTGCGTGGACACGCAGATAAAGGTTCTCTAGGGGGAACTTTCGGAGGTCGGTCATCGTCGCTGTTGGCTCCCGATGAGACTTCGGCTGACCAGCGGCGGTTGTCTCCGGTTTTGATTGGTCGTGGGGGAATTGGGACTCTTGGAGGAACCTCTGGTTTATCCAGGTTGTGTGTGTACCTGTGGTGACTGGAGTATCTGAAGGAGGCGGTTTTGTTAAAGCAGCCCGCGGGCCCAGAATGGGACCGTCGCAGCTTTCTTTGCGTACGTTCCTGCTGTCGTATACAGTTCTGTTGCTGATCACGAAGTTCTTGTTCTCTCTGTTGGTTTTCCCGCTCCTGTCTCGCCTTCTGTTGTTGTTGCTGCTGTTTCTGCTGGGATGTGGGACCTTCAAAGTAGGCATAATTAATTTGTCCACAGCCCCTGAAACTCCTCCTACTGGGCATCCCATAGCGGAACGGAGAGTTTTTGGAGCAAGATTCGGAAACTAGGCAGTGATTTTCATCTCCATTGAAAAACTCTACTTCACTGTCCATAGCCTGATCAGGGGAAAGCTCCGCAGAGCCGGGGATTGGGGGAAGGGGTTTGGTGGCTCGACTGGGCGTCTGTGGAGGACTGATGCGGTCAGATACAGTCAAACGTTCAAAGCAGGGAACCACTTGGTCGTCTTTGGCAGGATTTGACGTATAGGGCTCCGTGTGTAAAGTGAGCTGGGAAGGCCGAGGTTTTTTAGGGGGCAAGGGCTGGGCTCCTGTGCTGTTTGTTGAATTATTGTGACTCCGCTGTTCTGTTTGATTGAGAAAGGGGCAGAAATTGAGAATGAAGATTAGTAAGTTGCATATAATTTGACTAGATTCAGTGATAAAGGTGAACTGATCACAAGCAGCACAGATGTTTTACTTCTGTCCGACAGTTCCCAACAATAATTACCTTAAATATTCATTTTGTTCACATTCATCTAAAAAAATTAGTACTGCATTCACAGAATCTACTGATTAGTGCATTCTCTGAGAATTAAACCCATGATCTTTATATTCCAAGCCCCATGCTCTACCACTTGAGGCACAGCAATACAAGTGTCTGATACACCGTAATTCAGAATAGTTCCCCAAAACACATCGCTATTAACATAATTCACTCCCTCAGTTTGCAGCACACTCATATGCTGCTTATGTTTAGGATAATTCTGAAGGACCTTCAGGCAGCTCAATCCATGCACAATGTTCATGACTACTTCTGTAAATCTCCAAAAAGGCACCACTAAATCAATTTGACTAAATTAGTCTTCAGAAGCCATACAATAATAATGTGATCAATAGTCTAATGTATCTTTGAAAATCTTGCCATCCATTGCCTTTAAATCAAACATGGCTCATTGGAATGTAGTTCCTTTTGTACGGCTTTCCAATTTGATTGTTGTCCTTATAATCTGACAGCTATTAACTTTGAGTGTGGTTTATTTATAAACTAATTTCAAGAGGACCACGTGCTTATGATCAACATGGCTGGCACCTCATAACTCTGTAATCTGCTCTATTAGATGATTACGGAAGCATTATAAATAACCAGAGTTTTTCACTCCAGTTATCTTCGTCTTGAAGTTTCCCCCTTTACACCCCTACTTCCCCTCTTTTTTCTGATAGGGCGACACAGTGGCCCAGTCGCTAGCACTGTTGCCTCACAGCAAGAACAACACTGGTCCAACCTCCTATCTGGCCGGTTGGCATTTCTGTGTGGAGATTCTATGTTCTCCCTGTGTTCGCGTGGGTTTCCCCTGGGTTCCCCAGTTTCCTCCCACCATCCAAAAACATACACTATAGTCAATCGACTAAGCCAAATTATCACCCAAGACATTTCTCATTTCTCGCATGGCGACAAGCAGGGGAGTTCTCGAGACCTACCTGAGCTCGAACTCCCCTCTCGCCCTTTTAACGGGAGGGAGCCCCTGGCTCGAGGATATTACAAGCTCAGGGCTCTCTCCCGGAACAGCATGCCAATTACGCTCTATTATTTTACAGCTAAGTGTGAACTCATTGTGTGAATCATCATTTTATTACAAGAGATCCTATAAATTGTGACACTAAATTATTACATTTAAAACTTGTGGTAACACTTTAGTGCAGGTACCAATTCTCACTATTATTTTTATTTTTCACTTTTTTAGGGGGTTTTCACCTTTATTTTAATAGGACATTAGAGATTTCAGACAGGAAAGCATTGGGAGCAGAGAGAGGGGAAGGACCAGCAAAGGACTTCGAGCTGGGAATCGAACTTGGGTCACCGTGAGCACGTCAGTGCTTTATGTCGACACACAGTACCACTAGGCTATTGGCACTGAACAATTTTCACTATGCTCGCTCGCATGGTTTCACAATTTTCACCATGCTCGCTCGCATGGTTCAGGATTGGTAGAGCTACGCATCGATGAATTTGCTCTTCAGTGTTTGAACTCTCAGTAATGATTAAATCACACTGAACTGAGCTAAACTGAACTGAACTGAACTTAAACACTAAAAATTGAACTACACTGTTCCAGTTACTATGACCATTTATGTGAAGCTGCTTTGACACAATCTACATTGTAAAAGCCAACACAATCTCACGGCAATTCGTAACTTTTTCATTTAGTGGCTAATTCGTATGAATTCGTACGATCTAATTCGTACAATTTAGTACGATTTGCTTATCCCCCAATGACGGTTGGGGTTAGGGGTGGGGTCAGGTGCCACGCCTCCTTTTTAAAATCCATTTCGTACGACTGAACTCGTACGAATTCGTACGAATTAGCCACTAAACTGGCAAAACGTAAAACACTTACGTTTTCTCGTGAGATCAGGCTGGTAAAAGCGCTATACAAATAAAGCTGAATTGAATTGAATATTAACTAGTGGCTTGTTTGCAGCTTATAGACACTTTTGTTTGTACTAACATAATGTACATATTCTGCATGATCCTATTCAACATACCCAATCCTACACAATACCTAAACCCAACTACTACCTTAATAACTATTAACAAGCAGCAAATTAGGAGGTTGTTAAGGCAAAATTCATAGTTAAGGGTTTGTTAACAACTAGAAAAGCACCTTGAAATAAAGTGTGATCAAACTTTTGATATCAATAAGCATTATGATACTTACTTTCCACTGCTGAATATGATGTCGGCAGCACCTTTTTCTGAGACTCAATGTTATAATCCGTAGAAGAATCAATGCTTAGGTATAAGCTGTAGATAAAGAACAGAAACGCCAATCAGACACATTTGCTTGATTAGCATCGTATGAAATGTTGAAGAAAGTTAATTTCCTGATCGGTCTTGTAAAAGGAATCAGTTTTTAACTGGGAAAGCATGTGGTGTTGCACTCACTTGCGTAGATCATTGCATTTCCAAGAGGGCTTAGCTCCGGCCATGCTATGCCAGTGGCTGCCCCGCAGGAAAAGGCTTTGCGTGGGTAAACAGATCTCCTGGGCAGTCAAGCCTGCAGTGGACATGCTCCAGCTGCAGTCGGTTCGCATTCAGGCCAGGAAATGCTCCTCCTCGCCAAGCTGGCAGCTGCTGGCCTGTACCTGAAACACAGCCACGAGAAGACAAGAGTGTGAATCTCTGCAATGGTTCTCCAACGATTTTAACGAAGAGCACATTCTCAAGCTTCCTGCTGCTCAGATTTCCTTTCTACTGAGGTCATTTTCTTAGCAAATTTCAGGTCTTATAGTGACATCTTATACTGAGCCCTTAGCAAAAAAATACAGCATTAAAAAAAACAGCATTAAGCTTGAATGGAGAGTGAAATGACAAACTTTTCTGAGGACTAATTCCCTGGTAATGGCACATTTTTTTCTGAAATTCGAGGACACACAATGGTTTCAACTCAAATCTGCCATCAATAGATCTCAATTTGTAAGGAAATTTTTGATATAGCTGGGGGTATATCGTCTATTCGTTTGTTTAATGAGGTATAAATATAAAAGGCTCATTTGTGGATTAAGTGTTAAGCCTTCTCTTTTTTTCTTTTTGGATCCCCTAAAGTGGGGACTCATTTCATGTTTCCCTCTTCTTCCCTTCGTATTCATATTATTATTATCATTATTTTACATTTTCTTAAAATTATAGAAGTAAATGAAAGTTTGAAAATAAATAAATATGTACGTTCAAAAAAAAAAAGGAAAAGATATGAACATCAAAAACATCCACATTAATCATTTAATTCTATATGTAAACTGTTTGCCAGCTTATTATTATCCACTTCCAGTTATTCTAAGAAACGTAAGAGTCCAAAATTCACATTTACACCATGCACAGATCAAAGTTTTTATCTACAATTGCTATCGATGAGAATTGAAGCAATAACCTTGACGTTGTTAGTGCAATGCACTATTAAGTTCCCATCAGGCACAGGATGTCAACATGATGTCAGATTGACGTTGTACCCTAATGTAGGAGGACGTTACATTTTTGGTGGAAATGAAAATTGGGTTGACATCAGAATGCAACGACAGATCGAAGTCATCGGATAGATGTTGGATTTTGGTAACTTTCCAACGCAACCTAAAAACAACCAAATATCTAATGATGTTACAGCTTGATGTTACCATTATGATGTCTATAACGCCCCATTCACACGGGGCGTCAGCATCAACGTTTCCCATTCACTTTGAATAGGTGATGTCAGGCGTTGCCGAACTGCATTGTGGATCCGTCAGCGCCGCTTCAGAGGCGTTGCTCGCTGCAGAAGTTGGGACTAACTCAACTTTAAGCGCCGACGGAAGCGTCATCCAATCAGATCGCTGTATGCAAATACACCAGTTAGACGGTGGCCTATTGCTGACTGAATTTCATTGGCTGACGTTTCTATGAGGATTGCTCCAGTCCCAACTTCAGACACGCCTTCAGTCAAGCGTTGCCGCTGAAGCCCCGTGTGAATGGGGCGTTAGATTTCGGTTGCCATACCTGACGAATAAACGTCAGTATTTGGCGTCAATATGACGTAGGTTTAAGATGTTGGCTCAACGTTGGATGCTTGTCACTTTCCAAGACAACCTATAACCAATTAAATTTCAATGTCTAATGATGTTACAGCTTGATGTTACCATTATAATGTCTATCAGATTTCGGTTGCTTTACCTGAAGAATAAACGTCAGTATTTGACATCAAAATAACGTTGTCCTTAGACGCTGGCTAGTCATTTATATTTGGTCACCAGACACCACGACCTAAATCTAACCTATTATTAACGTCTTACAACATTGTGTGCCTTCTGGATTGGCTATAAATATATAATATTATAATATATAATACATGAATATATTATATAACATAACAAAAAGCTCCAAGAAGCTCTGACAGAACAATTTTTTAAAAAACAGTGGCCATCATAACCACTTTTATAACTATATGAGCATGATATGAGACCCTATATGAGATATGAGACCCTCTAAAGATAACTGCGATCGTTTTAGTGTTGTTGAAGAACGAAGAAGACATTTGTGTAGTTGTTTATGGAGCAGTCTGCCCTGGGCTATACCTTGCTTCCCTTCGCTGTGCAATGCATTCAGCCATGTGCACGAGACTTGAGTCGCACTTTTCAGAAAAGAACATTGAGCAACATTCTGCTAAGCCTCACAGCCTGTGGTATGACAAGCGCTCGGTTTGACAGCACTAAACTATACACTTATGCCCCCAAAGCCCTGGGGATAAAGCCAAACCGAATGCTCTCCAAGATGTCACACACAATACTACAAAACAATCATTTCTGTTGAATAACAGTAAACAGCATGCTACAATAGAAGAAATAAAGTATGAAGTGGATCAAAAAAAGTTTTTCAAGGCAAGATTAGGTGATGTTGAATAGTTTTAAGACAACTTTGATGAAAGGTTTTGATCCGTTTTAAATGTTGACTGCTGGATTTCATTATTTGTTTGGTTATGTTTTAATACCATCGCAGCATTGGATATATTCATGCCAACATTGGTAATAAATATTCAATACATCGTTTAAAATTAATCAAACATGCATTATACAAAAAATAATAACTACAGATAATAATAACACTGATTTAAAAAATCATAGAAGGTCTACCCAATTAAATCAATGATAAAATTCTGTCATTAAAAAAATATCCAAAAAGCATTAAAAAATATACACATTCTATTAAAATATTCCTACAACAGTAACAAATAATTTATTTTCTCCTTAAAAAAAAAAAGGAGTGCAAAAATTTTCATTGTAATTTTGTCTTTCATGTAAACCTGACTTTCTGGGTCCCCATGCAAATGCTATCTATCTTTACAGAGGAAGTCATCTAATATCAAATTATATATGCAAATGAGTCTCAAATGTCTTACCTTTGAACTCAACTTTGCTTAAAAGGAAACGGCATCTAGAGTTACAATTTGTTGCAACACCAGAGACGCTCTGAAGAAGTTGCTTTAAGAGCAGAATCCAGTAAAATGCGTTTGGCTTTTTGAGAAACCAGCTTTACACCCCTGAGAACACGAAGAGTGATGGACCTGGAGGCAAGGTTCATCCTGGTTTTAGCTTACAAACACGTATCACGCTCACAAGCTATCGAGTCACCAACATTATGACAGTCTTGCAGAGATACAAACATCTCCTGTACCCTATTAAACAGCAATTAGCGCTTTTATGGAACGATTTATTGCAGGGCTGTTTTACAAGCAACACACAATGCGTCAGCGTGGTGCAATGCATTTCTGCAGAGCCGAGTGATATGCAGCATGCGCATTAAATGGGGACAACCGAAGTTAAAGGGATAGTTCACTAAAAACTGAAAGTTTATTGATTATTTACTCCCACTCAAGTGCTTCCAAACATTTCCGAGTGCCTTCTGTTGAACACAAACATATATATTTTCAAGAAAGCTGAAAACCATCAACTTCCATAGTAGAAAAATAAAACAAATAAGTAACAAGATATCTTCAAAATACCTTATTTTAGTTTTTAACAAAAGAAAGACACTCAAAAGGTTTCATTTTTGGGTGAACTATCCCTTTAAAACTATGACTAGTCAAAAAAAAAACAATGCAGTGCTCTTTCACAAATCAATCTGGGTCAATTGGTTCAACAGGGACATGCATTTCTGTTGACCGTCCCTGATCCGGTTCATAAATGCGAGCAGTTATGCATCCTGAAAGCTTTGGACCTTGGATACGGTCACTATGAGCACACAATGCAACCTGATCCGCGATAAAGAACCCCACGGGACAGGCGCTTCCTCTCACAACAGGTGCAAGACGGACAGACTTCCTACTGTCCAGCACGGACATTTCTCAATGCCTTCAGGAAGACAATGCCAGTGAATTGCGAGCACGTTGGGTAAACAAAGCGTGCAAAATCTGTTCAGTGTGGCATGAATCCTGTGAAACATGAAATGCTTAGAATTGAATGCTTTCTTTAGGAACAGTTTATGAATGGTTATTTACATTTATGAAATATCAAATTAAGCATCAAATGTTCTTTATACTTCACTCAAAAAATGCTGGGTTGTTAAAATAACCCAATGTTGAGTCAAATATGGACATACCAACCATTGGGTTGATTTAAAAAAAATAAAAATAAAAAGTGTAGTTTTAATTTAATTGAAAAAAATGAACACAGCATTGGGTTTGTCCATATCTGACGTAACATTGGGTTATTATGACCACCCAACACTTTTAGAGTGAAGTAAAAGATTAATAAAAAAAAAGCTTTTATAGCATAAAATCAAAAAGCTACATAAACTACCCCCTGAATATTTCTTTTGGTGGTTCTTGTATGCCATCAAATCAAAAACAAACTTTTAGAAGCTTTATATTTTAGAACTGTATGGCCTTTTCTCTGCAAAATGCATAAAACATTTAAGCAATTCCATGCAAATGTTAACCTTGCCATAAAAAAAAATAATGTTTTCACCAAAGTAACAAAACTCTTTCAAGGTTATTTGTGTAGGTTTGTATTTTACACTACTGTAAATATACTCAAAATTGTCTCTGTCAATGTTTTCAAACAATTCTATTTGAGTCACCAAAGTTATACATGTGTCAATTTCACATCTGCCACATCCATAATGAAGCTTTTTCCTCAGGAATGCAAAAATGTAAAAGTTGTTCTATAGTGAGCCTGCCTTTCTCCTTTTGATTAGCATTGTTTCTTTTGGGTGTTTCAGTGTAAATCAAAGGTAAATGCTGTACACTGTGAACTTTTTGATACAGATTGATATTTTTCTGATCTCATAACTGTGGTGAGTTTCTTTGGAAAACAGATGTTTCAATATAATGTTAATACATATTTTCTCTGTGTATTTATGTTTAAAGTTTTACTGCAAATATCACATCCATAACGCTGGAATTGCTCATATATCTTTTAGACTACATTTCAATCTGAGGTTATTGTGTCTTATAATTTAAAACTGCAAGATTTGATTTGTAAGGATGTACTGTGTAGGCATGGGCCAGTAAAAGACTGACGGTATCAGAACCTTGGATAAAAATATCACAGTTTGACAGTATTGTGATTACTGCTCTAAAATATATAAATTTTTAAAAGTCTTGGTAAAATGAAAAAAACTTTTATTTCCCTTTGAACACAATTATTTTATTTTGAGAAACATTTAAAATATTTTGGAGCAGTAAACATATAGCTGAATATTGAAAATAAATCATTGACTTCTGCTGTCTTCATTAGTTTCAAAAACACAGATTTCATTAGAATCTAAAATGACATCTTTGGATACTTTATCTGATGGAGATACAGTTTTCCTAAAAAACAAACAACAACAAAAAAGTAAATAAAAAAATCTTACATATACCATAAGAACGGTATAACAGAAAATGTGGGCGGTTTTAAAAACCTTGGCTTTTCCAAATCACGGCTTGGTAAAAGCTGCTTATAAAGCTGGTCAGGTACACGTCACATTTCACTTCTAAATATCTCAAAACAATGTTTAGATTTATGCATTAGGCAGACACGTTCATCCAAAGTTAATGATGAGATTATCATCATGCAAGTTAATGTATACAACTACTTATATAAATCAACATAATGGCCACATTTTGTACATCTTAGACTGCAGTTTATGATTTCATATTTGTTTCTTTAAACAAAGGAAATACATTAAATACATGTATATTTTGGTTACAAAAGCACTCAGTTAATGTAAAAAATAAAAAGTATATGAAGAGATTAGATGCAAAAAACTCTTAAAAGTCATTTGATATTTCTTCTAAAATCAGCATTTTCACCGACTCCTGAGTGTGTAGGATATCTAATTTTACTTTTATAGTGACAAATAAGTTCTTTTTACTGCCTTTAAAGTGAAATAACCAAACATAAACATAGGAGGCTGAAAAAAATACTCATTTTAGGAGAATATTTCAGATGGCACACAGCAAAAAATGCTTTACATGCTTAGATTTTTGTCTTGTTTATAATCGAAATATCTAAAAATTCTTATATTAAGAAGCATTTTCTAGGTAAAAACATACTGTCTCGTTTTAAGGAATAATATGCCAATATTAAGTAAGTTTTTCCTTAAAACAAGCATGATAATCTGCCAATGGGGTAAGCAAAATAATCTTGTTTTTCCTTTTGACCAGATTATTTTGCTTACCGCATTGGCAGATTATTTTGCTTGTTTTAAAGAAAAACTCACTTCATTCTGGCATATTATTTACTAAAACAAGACATAATGTTTTGCTTGTCTAAAGGATTCTTCTTGATTTGAGAATCTTTAGATATTTGGATTTGAAAGCAGACAAAACATCTAATTAAGAAAAGCATTTTTGCAGTGCATTTAGAGGTTTTTGCATCTGAGCTCTTCATATACATAAATACACACGCACACAGATACATACAGTGCTCAGCATATATAAGTGCACCCCTCACAAATCTCTTTTAAATTCATATTTTTAATAGGAAGCTATACAATATTATATTTGTACAGTTGAAGCCAGAATTATTAGCCCCGTTTTCTGTTTAGCAGAGGGCAGATTTTTTCAGCACATTTCTTAACATAATAGTTTTAATAACTCATCTCTAATAACCAATTTATTAGTGACAGTATGACAGTTAATAATATTTTACTAGATATTTCTCAAGACACATAAACAGCTTACAGTGACATTTAAAGGCTTAACTAGGTTAACTAGGCAGGTTAGGGTAATTAGGCAAGTTACTGTATAACGATGGTTTGTTCTGTAGAATATCGTACCTTAAAGGGGCTAATAATATTGACCTTAAAATTGTGATTAAAATTTTTAAAACTGCTTCCATTCTAGCCGAAGTTAAACAAATCAGACTTTCTTCAGAAGAAAAAATATTATCAGACATACTGTGAAAATGTCTTTGCTCTGTTAAACATCATTTGGTAAATATTTAAAAAGAGAAGAAAAAAAATTCAAAGGGGGGCGAATAACTTTGACTTCAGCATTGACTAGTTTAATGTACGGCTGAAGCCAAATCTGGAGCTTATCTAACAAAATAACTCATAATAACAGTTCAAATACTAGTACTTCAAAATTTATATGTTATAGAAAACTATGAAATACAAATTTATAAACATTTTAAAAAGAAGGGAAAAAAAATCAAGAGAAGCAAAATAAATGGAAAAATAGTTGAAATTTTGTAGGTTGTAATTTGTTTTTGCAATATTTTGCTTGAATTTAATTGTATTATTTTTCAATTTCTAAACATTTTTGGTAACTAAAATATTATTTTAATAATAAACATATTTGTTAAATAAATCTGTTTTGTTTAAATGCACCAAAATACATTGCCTAGACTACATTCACTGAGAAATGGATCAACATATTCATTTTCAAAATGGGCTGTACTCATACTGTATTTATACACATACACACAAATACATACACATTTGGGGGTGAAGGGGGTGAAGTCTTAGCAAACTAAATGTCTTATTTTTGCAGTGAAACGTGACCATGTTCTTGGCAGACTAGCGTGCAGAAGATCTTGGAAATACCTGAAATACTGCATATGAACACAGGATACTGCAAAAGAGACTCCAATGCACATATAACGCGTGCATGTGCAGAAAACAACAGACTCATTCGGAAACCTAATCTTCAAGAGGTCCAGGAGTGTAAAGTCATTGTACATGGCCCGAAAATTACGAAATCTCTGCGTGCTAACAAACCACTGATATGACATTGTTAGAAGGTATGAAGGAGACAGTCGCGCGCGTTCACACCCCGCTCTTGTCACCTCCGCCGCGGCTGCCAGGCAACCATACCCGATCTACCTGTCCGCTTCCGCAAACTGGCGGGATGAGTCACTTTTACACTCTATCACACCTGACGAAACACACCTCAGACATTTCTTGAAGGAAAAAAGACTGATGTGCAACCAGATAAAATCAACATACACGTCATCGTCACAAACTATGACACTATTATGCGTGTTTTGTCAGCTGACCATCTTCATTATTTTTATTAATATTAATTTTATTTATCTGCCATCATCATAATTATCATCATCATAGTAGCAGATAAATAAAAATCTAAAATCAGATATAAATTATTTGAAGTGTTTTAAAAGAAGGGTGCCTGCGTTTCCCTCCAACTGAACATATACATATACATACATACATGCGCGCGCACGCACACATACATACACATACACACACACACACACACTCTCTCTCTCTCTCTCTCTCTCTCTCTCTCTCTCTCTCTCTCTCTCTCTCTCTCTCTCTCTTATCGGATGTCCTGTCACAGAATCAGATAATATCGCTCCACACGTCACTGTCGTCATCAGCACGCACGCACACACATAGAGAGAGAGAGAGCCAGACAGACCACAAACACTGACGATGTGCCAAACGCATTAAAATTCACCTTAATCTCCTGACAGATTCCCGGTGTCCGGCGTCAAAAGTTCATAATGCCGTAATAATGATCCCGTTCTGCCCGTTGGAAAGCGTCGGTTTTGACTTTACAGATGCGCGAGAACATTCATTACAGCTTTCGAGAGTTCGTTAACAAACGGGTCTTCTGTGTGCGGTGCTTTAAATCCTCACTGCAGAGACGAAGCCCCGCCCCCATCCAGCAGGATTTAAAGGCACAGTACACACAGTGTTTTGAATGTCTCTGCTTTATAGCTGCTCTCTGCTTATTTGCGCACTCGGTGTGTTTTATTGGCAAACGCATACAAAGTTTGATGGGGAAAAATAATAAAACACGCACCTGGTTTAAGCAGTGAGGATATTTGCTGACAACCAAAACAGTAAAAATAAGGAAATGCTCTACCCATCTTTCTCCCATTTTAAAAGCTTTTTTTTCCTAAGAGATGTAGTTTGAGTTTGCCTTTGAACAAGGATTCATTTGAGATTGCTTTTATAGACATGGGTAGCCCATTCCACCTACTATAGTCTCCTATTTTCTTTAGTTTGGATCTGGGGTTTCTTTAGTTTGGACATTTTTGGGTCCGACGACCTTAAACCTTACGACCCATGACCTTAAGGTAGTGCCTGACCATTAGGTTTCAAACTGGATTCCAGGTGCTCCAACTCTAATCAAACACAACTGATCCAACGAATCAAGTTGTTCAAGACTACAAGAGAACATTAAGCAGGTGTGAGTTGGAGCTGGTTAAACTATGTAGAGCTGCGGCCCTCCAGTAATTGAGTTTGAGACCATTGATTTAATACCTTTAAAACTTATGGTAAAATTGTAAACTCTATTCTAAAACATATCGGCAACCAGTTTAGGGAGCACAGGATGGGGGTAATTTGTATATGAATACTAATAATGTTATAGACTAATAATAATAGTTTATCTAGTTTCTATACTTATGACTAGGCCCACACGGAATCTGCGCACAGAATTCTGCAGATTTTTTTGCCCATTATTAATTCTGTTTATTTACTTGTGTAAATGTGTTAATCTGAATTTATTAATATTTTATTCAGTAATTTATTACTTTTTATTTAATATATTAAGGTTTTAGTTATGATACTCCGCTGGATACTCCTAAAATAATTCTGCAGATTTTTACCAAATTTCTCTGCAGAAATAGCAAAAAACGTCCGCAGATTCTGTCTGGCCCTGCTTATGACTTTATCATAATGCTTTTAATTCCTTTTTCTATTGTTTCTTCCTTAAAAAAAACTTAAGCTTTGCTCTTTTCTTACTTGATTACATCTATTTTTCTCATTTGATGCTTTTCATAAATAAAACTCAATCTGTTTTTATTGAATCAATACATAAAAAATAAACAAACATTAGGCCCTAATGTATATCTACTTTATTCTACATTACATAACAATACTTTACAATACAATATAATATCCACTTTATATCAAATAATCAGATTTTTATTATCTGCAAATCTCACATTGTCGTCCACTAAAGCTAAGTAGGGCCAGTACCTGTATAGAAGACTAAATGGGAAACGCAGTCCTCCAGGACCAGGTTTGCCCACCCCTGGCTTTGAGTGTCCAGAAAAGAGCCATATAAATGTAAAGAATTATTGTTATGTTATGTTATGTTTGAGTGATGTAAAAAATGATTTAAAAAATTATTTTCAGTACAACATTTTCCTTTAATTAGAGTATTACATTGAAATATAGTATAAATATTTGGCATGAATAATATAATTAATTATCAAACCACAGTTGTTCATTAAATGAATATTTAAAGGAATAAAGTTACTATAATAAATCAGCTAGTAATATGTCATTGGTGCTTCCTCATATTTGATCAGTAGCCAATGTTTTGCAGCATTTTCCTTGCATTACCATAAATAAAACCCCTAAAATGTGGATTAAAATCCAAAGTTTAACATTCAATCAGTATGGTTAATAAAATAATAAATAAACAGATTATTTACTGCAGTGGTTCTCAACTTTTTTCGCCAAATACCACTTCAGAAAAAAATAGTCTCTCCACATACCAATTAGGCGTAATTAAGCAGCTAAAGCTCTGCACAGTTCAAAAAACAGGCAGATTAATTACTATTATTATGAATATTTATTATTGTCAGCCACTACAACCATTTTGAATAGTTTGAACATTAACACTGCACGGTGCTTACAGGTAAAATAAATAAATAAAACGTCAACATTTAAATTAAAATGTGCTTTTAATAAAAAAAACACTGTTCTTTCAAAGTAATAAGAAAACTTCTGTACGTAAATGTGAAGTATTATCATAAAGTAGCCTATACAAAACCTGGAAATGTTCCTTGGACCTCAAAAATATAGGCTATATGTCATCATATTCATATATAAACTCTTTATGATAAATTTTGAAACATAAGTTGCATGTATATATGACTTATTTGCATATCTTTGAAATCTAAACATTAACGTGTATTTTAAATATGCGAATTGGATTTACATATTTAAATTAGAAATCAGATCTGCTTACTGAGAGTTAGAGTAGGCTTTGTGTGCCAGAAAAGCAAGTGATTAAACCAAACCTGGGATATATAAATATGGGATATGCCCCCAAAAAACATTACAAATAACGAGAGGAATTCAACTTCAAATGATAGAATACATTAGAAAAATGAAAATAAAATAAAAGGTTTAGCCTTTTAGAATCAATTTACTGATCACATCGGTGTTAGCATACTCGTCAAAGGGTTAAAAGCGTGCTCACTTTTTTACTTCAATTATTCAATGATTCCTCTGCGTAACACTAGAAGGAAGCCTGTGTACCACTAGTGGTACACGTAAAACAGTTTGAGATACAACTGATTTATACTTCACAACCATAAACAAAACTGTGCATTTAAATTACAAAAATATGATAAAACCATCATTTATATTCATAAGATGTGCTTTTGAAGCAGTCATCACAGAAAACAAACATGAGGTAACTGGAAGCAGACAGGCTCCTCAAATAACACGACAGTCCAACGTCAGGGATTATTTGAACAGATAGACCAAGCCATACAAGGCTGAAGAACCACAGTGAGAAGTGCAAAGAGAGACGTTTAATGCACAAAATGGAGGACATAAGAGTGCCAGAGAATCCACACAGACAGAGAGACTGGCTCCATCTCTGATAAGGAAGCACGCACAGCAAACACTGTGATGTTTTACTGCTACATTATATTTACCTGCCTGTCGACACGGAGCCCATATTGTCTGCAGGCTAGATGGATGTGGGTGATGTCTCTTCATTATGGTCTGTGCAGGCGTAGATAACAGCTGCTGTATATTACATGTACCTTAATACAGCTTTGAGTCTTTTCCAGATGAGCGGGTGAAGAGTTCTCATGCCCGTATTTATGTGTGTTTACAGTGGGTTTAAATCAGGTCGGAAAATGAAACCACATAATCATTCATAATCATAGACAAAACAAAACTGGGTGACACTGTGGCTCAGTGGTTAGCACTGTCGCCTCACAGCAAGAAGTTCGCTGGTTCGAGTCCCAGCTGGGTCAGTTGTCATTTCTGTGTGGAGTTTGCATGTTCTCCCTGTGTTGGCTTCCTCCAGGTGCTCTGGTTTCCCTCACAATCCAAAACACAAGCACTAAGGTGAATTGGCTATACTGTATTTGTATGGATGTTCCGTATCTGCTGTGTAAAATATATGCTGGATAAGTTGGTGGTTCATTCTGCGGTGGCGACCCCAGATAAATAAAGGGACTAAGCCTATGGAAAGTGAATGAACGAATAAAACAAAACACCTTTGCTTTCATGAATTTGTGTCCAGACAAACTCTACTACATGCTGGTGGTAAAATAATTTGTAACTATTTTATAATCTAAAGACATTAGAGATGAAAAGATGAAGGATTTATGTTTGTTTGTTTTTTTGTCGCCATCAGATATGGAATCTGGTTTATGGCAATATATGAAATTACATGTATGACATGAACAGACAAGTTCATGTTTGGATTTCACACATATCATTCACTCACCGGCCATTTTATTAGGTACACCTGTCCAACTGCTTGTTAAAGCAAATTTCTAATCAGCCAGTCACATGTCAGCAGCTCAATTCATTTAGGCGCGTGGTCAAGACGATCTGCTGCAGTTCAAACAGGACGCCAGTCCTTTCAGCTAAGAACAGGAAACTGAGGCTACAATTTGCACAGGCTCATCAAAATTGGACATTAGAAGATTGGGCCTATTAGTACCAATTGAGCATTGTGTCAATGCCACAGCCTACCTGAGTATTGTTGCTGACCATGTTTACCTCTTAACGACCACAGTGTACCCATCTTCTAATGGCTACCTTTGGCAGGATAACACACCATGTCATAAAGCGTGAATCATCTCAGACTGAATTCTTGAACATGATAATGAGTTCACTGTGCTCAAACGGCCTCCACAGTTCTTAGACCTCAATCCAATAGAGCAGCTTTGGGATGTGGTGGAATGGGAGATTGGCATCATGGATGTGCAGCTGACAAATCTGCAGCAACTATGTGATGCTATCATGTCAATATGAGCCAAAATCTCTGAGGATTATATCCATAACTTTGTTGAATCTATGCAACGAAGGGTTAAGGCAGTTCTGAAGGTAAAAGTGGGTCCAAACCGGTACTGGTGAGGTTTACCTAATGAAGTGGCCAGTGAGTGTATATGCCTAAATGTTACAAAAAAGGCAAATTATATATATATTTTTCAACCATTGGAGTTACAAGAATGTACATATGGGTTCAAATATGTACATTTGAAATTATTTTTTCGTTTTTAAATATTTCCCAAATGATGTTTAATAGAGCAAGGAAATTTTCATAGTATGTCTGATAATATTTTTTCTTCTGGAGAAAGTCTAATTTGTTTTATTTCGGCTAAAATAAAAGCAGTTTTTACTTAAAAAAAAAAAAAAAAAAACATTTTAGGGACAAAAATATTAGCCCCTTTAAGCTATGTCTACAGAATAAACTATCGGTATACAATAACTTGCCTAATTATCCTAACCTACCTAGTTTACCTAATCAACCTAGTTAGGCCTTTAAATGTCATAGTGTATGTGTGTAAATGGAAGTGTATGGGTGTTTCTCAGTGA